CTCGTTAGCATCCCCTCCTTCCCCCGTCAGTATAAGTGGGCGAGGGGGAAGAGCTGTTCTCGCTCCTCGGGAGGGCGCCCTGTCAGCCGGTGCGTGTGGGCTGCCCCGAGTCCGGGGAGGTGAGTCAGAAGCACTGACGCAGGGCTGTTTCCACGCTGAGGCGTCGAGCTCTGCGGGCCTGACGGAGATGGTTGTCAGGCAAAGTTGCTGGGAAAACGCTGTTTTTTTTTTTTTTTTTTTTTCTGAGTTTGGAGTTACAGGCGTTGTGCGTTAATTCAGTATGTTCTTCTAGCCTCACTGTAACTAGTGGGATTTTGTCTTTTTTTACTCTGTTATTGTCTTACCCCCTATCCCACCCCCGAAAAAAAAGAGATCATTTTGGGGGCAGAAGTGCAGTGGGAATAATGCTATTGTGGCCCTGTTGTGGTAGAAGCACTCTCCTGAGCACCAGGAACACCCCTTTTGAGAAGTCCCCTTTTATCTGTCTCTTGTCTCCTTCCATCATCATTCAGGACTTCTAGCAGGAAGGGATTTCTTTCTATCCATAAATACTTTGTATTTTTTGTTACAAAGTCACGGTTTCAGCTGAGGACTTGCTGTTCCTGAATGGGTCTTGAATGGAAAAAATACTCTTTATAGAGCAGAGTGTGGTCTTTCCCCTTCAGGAGGGTGTAATCAGTCCTAATGGGCTTTCTGGTTTCTTTGGCTGGCTGAACTTGCTGCTACAGATTGGTGGCCAATTCTAAGTGGCTGAGGCTGCTCTGAGGGCTTATTAGAATTGAACCAGGTCATTGTGCACTGTTTTAAAAATAGCATGTTCTTAAATTGCCCTTTCTACAGCTCTGAGACCAGGACATTTTGATCCTAGTTACTGTATTTTAAATTATTCTTGCAGGTTAAGCAGTTTATATTTTTAATACACAACCAGATTAGAAAGTAGGCTAAATTAGCCGGTGGAGCAAATGATTAACTATTGTACAGTCTTATTATGAAGACCTTATTTTATGTTTGTATAAGATTACATTTTGCTTTTAAAAGCAAATGAAGAAAAAAGCTGGTATTAAATTGTAAACAAATACAGCTTTTTGAGAATTTCTTTTTAGGGAGCGGTGAGGAATTCTGTGTTACAGCTCAGTTCAGTCAGTTCATTTACCAGCTCAGCTAGTGACTCATGTGGCCTGAGGCAAGTCACACTGTTTCACTGTCAATACTCTTTTTTTTTTTTCAATAATAGAGTTATCTTACAAGGTGTTTTAAAGATTAAGTCTTTCATCTTCTTGTTTGGTCTTCTGCATTAAAATATTACTTGCTGAGCTATGATTGGATCCATAACTATTGTATGGCACAACACTAGTATTTTCTCATGAGATATATATATGCATAACTTTCTGGTTTTGAGATCAGTTAACTTGTGACCAATTTTTACAGCTGTCTTCTGTAAGAAATGCTCTCTATTTTACATAATATATAAGATTCATTTCCTTAGCAGGAAATGCTAAGATGGTAGCAAGTAACTTTAAAAAGAGTTGTTCTTTGTTACCTTTATATTTTTACAGCTTTAAGTGACAGAAGAAAAATGTGTTTGTTTAGCTGCTATGAGTTGAGAAGAACAGCACTTAAATCAGAGAACTAAATGTTTCATTAAAAAAAACACTGACAACATGTCTTTAGTATGTAGAAATGTGTCTTGGTATCTCAGCTGGCACGTAGCATAAAAACGTGTCTTGTTTCTGTTGAAATTAGTGGTCCATTTGCCACTGGCTTTAATAGCAAGTAGGGATCTTTTTCATAATTCTGTAATATAATGCAGCTTCTTTTAATTATTAGTCAGGGTTTTTAAGTAAATCTGTTACATAAAACATTCTGTAATGTCTTACTGGTCTTGTTGTGCTACATATACTTTTTTACAAATGTTAGAAGGCATCAGAAGGTGTTATTTGGGATGCAAGTTTGACAGCAGCAGACAAGTTTGGATGATAATGAATTCCTCTAAACGCACTAATCAGTCTTTTTCAATGAGATAGATATATATATATATTTGTTAGTCTCTGTGATTCTTTTTTTCTTCTTTGTATCAATGACTGCTAGGAAACGGTAAGAGTGCGGGTAACTGACGCTTGACCCTGTATAAACAGGGAGAAGAGCAGTCAACGGCTCTTTAGAGGGCCTCAGATGGGTCCGCTAACAGAGTGAACGTTTTGCCTCTGCTGGAGGGTGAAAGTCGCTGTCTGGATAATCAGGTAAGTCTTATCTGCATCTACATGCGCTTTCTCAAACTTTTGCTGGTGCCACCCTTGGACTTACCTTGAATTTATTTGTGTTCATTTAATCTTCCTGGGTCAAAATAGCTTTTAACTCAGCCAAGAAATAGCTAACTGCTTTTATTTATTTATGAGAAACATTAGCAGTTTTGAGGCATTCTTACCTTTTAAAAAAACAAACGAAAAAACCTCTAAATTTTGAAGCTGGCTTTTACTATACCATTCATTGACTATAATGTTATATAACTATAACATTTGACTATAACATTCACATTCAAAATGTATCAGGAGGGGAGCTCTGTGTGGAATGTCTGTGGCAGTGAGATACTGCTGCACTTGGGTGAAGGAGCTGTGGGAAAGGTGAGATGAAAGGCAATTTTTTTTTTCGTGTGATAAGTGATCAAGAAAGATGTATATACACCATTTAGCCTATTTCTAAAAAGCCAAAGATACTGGACAGGCTATTGTGAAAGGTGACTTGGCAGTGGAGTAGCAATAGGTGACAATGCTAATAGGTAGCAACAGTGACCAGTGGGGTTTTAGATGGAAGCCACCAAGAACTCTTCATGTGGTCACTTCAGCTGACTATTCTATTTATAAATAGAGTCCTTAGAGGCTTCACTTCTCCAAAGTACAAGAGCTCCAGCCACTCAACAGATGGACTCTGCTGTCCCTCAGCAAAAAACTGTGAGTGGGGCCAAACCAGAAAGGAAGATTAGAGTTAGCTACCTCACCAATCATGTGGTGCTGTAAAATGAGCAGATCTGTACATCCAAGGAGCAGTGATTTTTTTCGACTGTTGATTACTCAGGATTTTCAACCTAATGTTTGTTGTATTGCTGTGGTATTTATTTACTCAAAGCTATTTGTTTAAAATTCTTTAGATAAATTCATGACTTGCAAGTGAAATCTTGGCCCATTAGAAATGAGCAATAAAAGGGGATGTCATTTTTGAATGGAAGCTCAAGCTGTATTTCTACTTTTAGTAGAAATTCCTAGAAACTGAATCTACTTCTTTACTGTCAGTTCTTCTTAGATCTAAAACACTGTAACCTTTCTGCCCCATGAAAATACATTTTTGTTTTCACTTTTTTATAGAAAGGTTTGACTATTTTTGCATTAGTGACAAATATTTTATATATAACTAAGCAAGCTTCTCTCCAAAGAAGTATCGCAAACTTTGGAAGTTTGGTCTTCAGCCAGACTTCCTGGTAGATATATTTCTACATGTATATAGTTTTGGAATGAAGTAGACTTGTTATCTTTAGAATAATTTCTCTTAACAGTTTGTGAAGTCTTCACAAGATATGTGGAGCTGCATGAACATTATAAAAGTCTCTTAGAAATATGATGTTTCAATTTCACTGAATTCCGCAGAAATTAGAAAGTGTGATGTGCACGTCCACTTTGTGAACTTATTAATTGGTGCTTCCAGTTCCTATAATAAGTTGCTGCCAAGAACTCAGTTTAAAAACAGAATGTTGATATGTTACTGCATTGTTGTTCCTGGGTGTGAATCAATTCAGCACTGAGCAAATTAATATCATATGATTATTTTAGTAGTAGCACAGTTTCTTATTCAACTGTCTGAATATTCATTGTTGAACAAACTTAATGGCTGGGCAAGTATAAACACCAGATGGCACTATTTGATTAGTTTCCAACATGTGTCTAACAAACTTAGATATCTGGGTTTTGGCCTATTTTGTGAAGATTCTTTCTGAGAGCTATCACAATCTCTTTTCCCTTGGGGGGGGGGGGGGGGGGAAGCCTGCAAGTTGCTGAGTGTTCCCAAGTGGGAGTTAAAATCAGAATACCTTACTGAAGGTTTTCTGCATCTTCCACAAGCTCAGAAAGTCCAAAAATAGATTGTAAATATTTGATCTAGTTAATGGTTAGCTTTGGGGAGATTAAGTGTCGCTTATAAATATTTCTCTTAACACTGCATATGCCTGTCTTAATAGTTCTTGGTAGCTCGTTGAAGAGATCACTTACGAAGGTAGTTACCACTCTGGACCTTGGTCTGTGTGGTAGTCCCAGTCTCAACCATGTGGCTGAGATTAATTTCTTTCATAATCATTGAAATGGAAGAAATATTTTCTGAAAGGCTTGTGTATCAGTGCTTTTTCTTCTTCCAGCTTTTAAAGAAACTTTAGTTGTCTGTATTTGGAAACCAGCTGTTTGTATTAAAATCACTAAAAGTTCATTGTGTTTTTAAAGTCCACACTTTGGATTCGAGAGACTGTCTCTCCATCAGTGATCATGCTTATATGAAACCTTGCCAAAATAGAAATCTGTAAGCAGCTCTGCATAGATGATGCATCATTTTCTTGGTGGGTTTGGGGGGCAGAGTTGGCTTTTTTTTTTTTTTTGGTCTGTTAGTCCATGTAGAGCTATACAGGCAGAAAAATGATCTACTAACAGCTGAAGATTTTGCTTAGAATGATTGCTATTACACAATCACTGGTATATAAGAGTTTTTGCGTTATCTCTTATTACCTGTTATGCAATCTGTATATGCAAAATAACTTTGCAGTCAAGAAAAGAAATCCTGTTGCTTAACTAAGGTCATAGGTTGCCTTATTGGGAACAGCTGCAGTGCAACATAAAGGACTGTAAGGCCCTTACTTAACACTGCTCTTCACAGGAAGAGATCGATAGGACTCCAGTGACCTTTGGTTCACCGCATATTCCATCATAAAACTGATGGAACTTCCTGGACAGAAGAGGCTTTTCCTGAGGCTACCAAAATACATGTTAAGGGCTCCTGTAAATACAATGAAAGTTCCAATTTTGATCTGCGTGCGTCTGGACTTTCCAAAAAGTATGTCAGCTGCTCTGCAGTTTTCTGGAAGCTTACACTGACTTTCCTGAAGAAAGGAAGGTTCATGTGTTAAGGAGAATCTGAGAGATTTTGTCAGGTATGTGTTTCTCTTCCTCAGATGCAGTGCTGCCTTATCCTCAAACCTATAATCCACAAATTGTTTTTGCCATGAGTGGTATTTTGTCTGCATATACGTTCATAAAATACCATAAGCATAGTACAGAAGATACACATAAAGCACTGTCAATGCATTCTTGCAATTCTCAGTTTTGACATTCTGCTACAAATCTCTTACTGAAAATGAATTGATTTGGACTTCTAAGGCAGCATTTTAGCAACTTAATCTGGAAGCTAGCACAGTTTGAATGCTTTCTGCTCAAGCAAAGAACTAGGGTGTTGTCATCAAATAGATACAAAGGCAGTCTTACTCACAGATGTCTGTGATATTTTATGTGCCACTATGTCGAAATTGATATCATCAGAGTGGGTTTCAGTGGCCAATGAGCAACAGTCAGTTTCATACACCAATCTTTATCACTTTTCACATCTACAGTTTGTTATTGCTTAGACAGTTAAATGACAGTCGGAGCTTAACTTCCAGGTGGTCATTGTGGAGTTATTCTGATGCTACTTCAAGGCCCGCTGTGTGCTGATAAGGTGCCTTTGGTAAGATTCCTTCTGAAATTGTTACTCTTCCTGATAGTTCAGTTTGCAACAGTTTCACTGCAAAACACAAAGTTACTCCTAATAAATCAATGTTCTCCGGCTGAGCATCCTTTCCATGTAAAGTCATATATGAGTATACTTTCTCAATAGAATCTTACTGAGCACTGCATTGTCTATTCCATGCTGTGCCATTTCTCAAGCGATTTTCCTACTTCTGTCTGTTCCTAAAGGTTAGTTTTTGATTTTTTTATGAATGTACAAAAATTCAAAGCGGGGTTGTTTACTTCCTGAATATTATTTTTTAGCCATGTGAATGAGATTCATTACATAGAATAAACTACTTTGAGAAAGTGACAAAACAGAACATGAAGTGGGCCAGACTTTTCCCTCTAAAAGTACATCCTACTTAATTTGCTGCACATTCAAAGTTTTATCTAAGAGGTATGAAATTTGCATCCTGAAATTAAATCATTCTGTTTGCATTTTTGCGTGTTATCAAATAAGGCTCTATCTCAAATAAGAAAAGGAAGAGCTCTGAAGAGATTGTCCTAAATCAAAAGCTAATTTTGAACAGGTGAGAATTGCTATGTGGCTCAGACAGGAACCTGACTATAAGAATATGATGGCTGGTACTTTCTTTATAATGGACAAAATCAGAATGTTGGGTTTAGACTCTGAACTTTATAATGTATGTTTTATCTCACTTCTCCCCTTACTCATAATTTTTGGTCATTTTAAATGCTGTCTCTATCGGATTAAAATAAATTTATGTTGGTTGTAAACCTGCTTATGAGAAATGAGGAGGAACCTCTAGCAGTCAAAGGATCTTGAGGTTTTTATAAAACAGTAAATTACAGTATATTGTTTTATTTCAAGTCTTGCATATTATAAATATTAATACTATAAAGAATATTATGAACATTAATATTATAAAGAATATTTAAGGAAATTTCACATTTTTCTTTCAAAAAAGCTGCAATAAAGCTATTTTAATAGGAAAAAATGAATGCATGAATTATTTAAAATAGTTGGTGCAACTGTTCTGTTAACTAATCCATGCACTTGGAAGGCAATTACACTGAGCTTTGACAACGTTGCCAACGCACTGCACAGTGCCTTATGCCAAAAGCTATTGTTGTTTTATTGCCCACGTTCACCATTACATATGCATATGAAAAAACAGAGGCATTTTCATTGGGATTACCCTAATAGCATTAAGAGATTATTTTTTTTTTAAATTTCCTTGGAAGGAAATTCACTTAAATGAGATTACTTATTACTTGACTGGTTTCCTATCATGCTGCTATGTTTAGGTAAGTGGAGTCCATTAGAGTATAAAGTTTTTTTAAAAACTGATTTTATACATTAATGATTTCAAATAAAAGAGAAGTACTATATTTGTGCATAGCTTCTGTTGAGAAAGTTAAGTCGATGCTCTGGTTAGGAGAGATAACGCTTCTTGTCCCTCTTGGTGGCCCCCCTAGTGTCACCATTAGTTGCTAATTACTTGCAAACAAATAAACAATTAACTCCTCGTGCCTCTTGGTGGGAGAGTTTTCATTGACATGCTAAAACTTTCTAATAAAAGATTTTAATTAATGACGTTGCAAATCCAACCCCCTTGTCAACATAGCTATAAGGAGGACTTGCAGAGAAATGCAAGTACAGTATACATGGTATGCTGGCTGAAGGTGAAAGCATGGCAAGTACATCACTGTGTGCTGCTAATACATCAGTGTCTCAGAATCTTCAGAAAGCGTCTGGTTTTGTAGAAAATAAAGCCACACAGTGCTCTTTCTCCATTGAAAGTATTTTGGGATTGGAGCAGAAAAAAGAGGTCATTCCACCTGTGAAAACTCATCGACCATGGATGGATACATGCACCAACTTGGGTAAGTCAGCAGTCAGTTTTGTAACATCTTACATTTTTAAAGGAGTAAAAGCTTATATATTGTCATATTTCTACTGCAAACCATTAAATTGTTTTTTTTCCTTGTTTTTTCTAGTTTTACATGAAGGCAGTAATCCTCATCTGCAAATCCCTGTCGCTTCCTGTGAAAACTCGTTATTTCATACTAACAGTAATACAATACAAGAGGAAAAAGTTTTGAAATGTGAAAAATATTTTTCCGTCACTGAGAGGCTGTCTTTCAAACGAGAATTGAGCTGGTACAGGGGTAGAAGACCAAGAACTGCTTTCACTAGAAACCAGGTGGGATTCTGTTACCACTTAAATAAAACAATATAATGTAGTAAAATGTTGGTAGAAGCCTGTAACAGCTGGCTAATTCAGTACCATGTACTTCTGCATAAAGACATTTGGTTAGGCACTAATGTAAATGCGCAATCAGAACTGTCCAGACACTGTTCAGAAATCTCCTGTTGAACTAACTAGTGTGTTTTCTTTCTTTCTTTCTTTCTTTTTTTTTTCCTCCTATGAAGGTAGTGATAACTATTCAACAAGTGTGTTTTAATCTCCTCAGATTGAAGTTTTGGAAAATGTTTTCAAAATGAACTCCTACCCTGGCATTGACATTAGAGAAGAACTAGCTCGCAAATTAGATTTAGATGAAGACAGGATTCAGGTAATTAAAGTTATTTAAACGCTTTTGTAATTCCATCTGTGTCGTCTTCAGTGATATAAAAAGGTAGATGGACAGTAGCGATAACTTTAATAATCACAATTAATAAATTTATTCATATGATATGCCTTCAGTAATATGTAAAATGGAAGCCACCGAATTCTTTCTGAAGTCATAAGCCTTATTGCGTAGTATTAATATTACATTCATTACTGTAATATTTCCATGATCTCTGCTTTTTTCACCGCTGTTTATCATGTGCAAAGCTTCGTTTGCTCCTAGGTTTTAAAACCATATTTACATTATGCCTTTCACCATGTCTGAAAAATAAAGTTGAAATCAGTATTAAAATAATTTGAATGTGTAAGTATTTGGTGAGATTGTCAATAGAGCATTAAACCATTGAGCATTAAACATAGAGCATTAAACACTTTATTGCACCAATGTTTGAGCCTATGTTTTTGTCTGGTGAAAAGCACTGTCTGCTCAGGTTTATTAATTACTGATTTCCAACTAATCAAATGTGGTAAGAAGCATACCATATATCATTAGATTTTTGGGACAGGCCTTGATACTTACTAAAGCTTTCAATGCAAGTCTGGTTGGGGTTGATGTTAAGCTTTATGCTGCAGTTAAGATGTTACTTCTTGAGGTGCTGAATTAAGTTTCCACTGACTTGCATGTGAATTCCAGATACTCAGGATCTTCCAGGGTCTGATTTGGTGTCACTGAAAGTGATACTAGTTTTTGTGTTAATTACAGTGAAGCTGGCCCTCACCTTCAAGTAAGGTTGGGAAATACTATATTGTTCTGTGTTGTTACTGTAATTGTTACAGGCAGTTATAGGCTATCATTTGCAGATTTTAAATTTGTATTGAACCTCCAAACTACGGGCATTTCACAAAATCGGAAATTGTGTAAATATTTTTAAATTTCAAAGCTTATCCTGCTTACGGTGCTGTATTTCTGAAAAGTGTACCTTTTATTTCAATTTTAGATCTGGTTCCAGAATCGTCGTGCAAAGCTGAAAAGATCACACCGAGAATCTCAGTTTCTAATGGTGAAAAATAATTTCACCTCCAACCTACTAGACTAGGAAGAAGAATGGTTTGCTGTTAAGCTACTATGATAGCACATGAAGAATTACTGAAGTTTCATAACTCGAATTAAGTAATGATGATATTAATTTGATGGTTTTATCCCTAGATTTGAAAGGTTATCGTGATTTTTCATTCAAATAAACTGTAAATACGTGAAATATTATTATCTATTTTTTGTGGAAAAAGTAAACTTTTCCCGTCTATTTTAATAAATATTTTCAGAAAAGTTTGCATATTTTTGCAGTGAAAGAAACAGAAAACCTAATCAGTGCACAATACTTTCAGCTACAATGTATTACTACAGCTTAACTGAAGACAACAGCACTTCATAGTTTTAAGAAAATTCAAGTCTAAAATATGCAATATGCAAGAGATTGTGTTACATTGGAATTTAAATCGCTTAATGAATGTACTATAATTTTCTGAAAATTGTTCTTTATGTAAACTGTCTCATCTCAAACAGGACTAGTATTTAAGTGACCATTTTTAGTTCCAGCAATTACTTAGTTAAGGGGGTTAAAACTAATCTTTTTTTACAGTGTATTTTAAATCATTTATATTTAGGATAATATTTGCCTATGTAATATCTAAATTGGAGTATCTCCTGTTTTGTCAGTGTAAAGGGTCCAGTTATAGAAGTAGCCATCAATATCTTTTAATGAGAGAAAAAGAGAAATATCCTCTAATGAGAGGCAGGATCAAATTGTTTGGGACCAGACCAGATATCCAGATCACTTCCATTAGTTTTATCATGTTGAATATTTTTATCACAGTGTGTACGAAAGTCAAGTATCTTAATAATTGATAGTCAACCTGCAGTCAATATGCATAAGGACAGCCTTATACAAGAAGACAATCCTTTGTGGCCCTGACGTGTTTTAAAAAAAAAAAAAAAAAACAGTGCAAGTATGGGTTTATGCTGTTCCTTGTTCAGCAGAGCTTTAAGCACTTACTTGAAGTGCTAGTATCCTTCAGTGAGGACTCAGCCCATGTTACTCGAGATGTATTCTATGTGGACCCAGTTGTATATGCAGAAACTGATTTTTGTGTCAAGCTGATGATTCAGTAGAAGCACTGACTTTAAGTGGTGTTTCAATCTGTAGCAACCAATAAGTCCGAAAATAGAGAACTTAACCCAGCTAACAAAGTCTTATGCTTATCTCAGTTGATTGATTTGAAAAATATATTTTATTTTGAACGTAAACTACATTTAGAATATTCAAAACATTGAACTGAATCACTTTATTTGATGCAAAGAAAATCTTTTTATCATAGAAGACTGAAAAACAAACAAAATCGTAGGGCAAGATTCTGAAAACTAGGGAGAAGAAATGATGTGAGGGCTTATGACACTCACATTCTTTTTATCTATAGTTCAGAGTACTGATCTTGGACTAAATAACCTACCTCAAAGAAATGCCTAGCTGCTGAGCTATTATGTATTCTGATGTTAGTTTCCAGATTTCTTCAGGAAACAGTTTTCCTTTGTATGAAATGCTTAGATATTTGCTGGAAGAGTTTGAGCCCAGTTCTCCAAGGTACATACCATAGCCACCAGGCTGATTCACTTTCGGTCTCTGACGCTTGTTTTCTATAGAGTCAGTTATGTTAATGAGGACATGAAAGTTGTTAATAATATAGGTTAGATGTAAGTAGCAAAAAAGGAAAAAAATTCCATAAACTCTTCCAGTGTTTTATAGTGCAAATAGTTAACTGTGTTCCTCACTTGCACTTTCTTGTTTAGTGATTAAAAAAACAGGTTTTTTTTCCTGGCATGTTATTCTCAATGTAGTATAGTCTCTAGAGGTAGGCCTTCAACTTTTAAAGGCCTGTCTGTACTACTTCCAGACAGTTCTTAAATCCCACATCTTTTCTAAAATGTGCACTGCTTTTCTTTCAGTTAAAATTTTTCAAAAGTCGAATGCTTGTATTTTGTACCTCAGTTATAGTAATAGATGATTTAGTACATCTTTAATTGTTTGTGATGTATTTGGAAATGCAGTTTGTTTAGGATTTTACCAGATACATCGTACCTGTTATGTCATGAACAGAAGAATTGTTCTTCCTTTCTCAGTGCTTGCATCCATCGTATCTGCTATCCTACAGAATAAAAGATAAAACTGACGAAGTTTGGGGAGGAAAGAGATTGATGGAAAAAGTTTCATATAGCCTCATAGTAGCAAAAATTCAGTGAGAGAGGTAATCAGACTTTAGTCCCTAGTTGATACTTGGGAAGATGTGTTGAGGTATAAAAGTGTAAATAAAAATTACTTTTATTTCCTGCAAAACACTGTTGGAGAGCTGCATTAGTTTATAGAGCCTCATTACAGCTATTTGCCTTTTTGTGTCTTTCATGGACACATGTCACTTTATGGTTACTGTAATAATGAAGGTAATAAATCCATGAAAGTGTTGAGTTCTTTAACTTTACTTCTAAAAGAACTATTTTAGTGTGAAAATATCCCACTTTTATCCAATATTGGATAAAATTAATGAGAATGTTAATTGAGAAATAACAATAACACTAACTATTACTAATTGAATTTTTGTTGTATCCCTGCATTCAAAAATACTTAAAAGACTATACACAAACAAAGCAATTTAGACAGTACTTTTACAGACAGTACTGGGAATGTGTGAGTTCTATTTTATTTTTCTTTTCACCTCAAAACATATATTGCCCATGGCTTAACTTTAGTGCAGGTAATTTGAAACTATTGTCTACTTTACTGCTGGAAACGAGGTTTCCAGCAGCAACAGATTAGTCTAATCTGTCCAGATTGATGCCTAAGAACCTTACTCTATTATCTGGCAAATACCTAAATGCACCTAATGTCTCTCATAATGGAGCTCGTCTCAAGTGACGGAAGTCTGACAAAGCAATTTAAGAGAAGAACTAGAATAACAGCAGAATAATAATAGCACACGAGCCCTGGTTTCCAGCTCTCAATTAGCAAATGTTACCAGAAAGATGATTCATCTGTAAGGTGCCAGTGGTGTTGCACATAGTTTAGTAACAACATTGCATTATTTGCTTAATCTTGGCATGGTTTGTTCTTCCCAAACTAAAGGTGTCAGTGATTCATTAACAGTGAAGGAGGAACCTTTAATGTCACATTTATATCTGCTGTGACTACTATGGATTTAAGTTGTGGCCATAACTTTCTCAAATACAGTTACAGTTTCTTTCATCTTAAAATATTAATCTGTGTTTCATAGGACACATTCTTAATCTTGTAGTTCCTAATGATATGCAGCTAGCTTGGTAATACGCTTGTAATATGCTATCTTGTAACATGCTATCTTGTCTGCTTAGGCCCAGGCAGCTCAAATAATGTTAGTGGGTGAGACTGTGTCAGAGGAAGCTACCACATAACACTGAAATGTGGTGCCATTACAGTTTTGCATCCTTTGTCTTGCAGTGTTTTTGTTTTTCTACTATTGTACAAAACTGGTCTGAAGAAGCCACACTTGTCCTGGTGGTTCTTCTGACTTCAGCTGTTGGGTGACTTTGTCAAGTCACAAACTCCTCTTCTCCCAGCCACGTTGCCTTGCATCGACTCCAGTGCTCGCTTGACCCTGCGCTATGTTGATTAAATTTGCTAGGATGGTGAAAAACTATTTCAGCAAAAAAGTTGGCCAGTGGAATTGGTAAGAATTCCCTCTTTTGATATCATCAGCATGGATCAACAGCTACTGTTTAGGCAACAGTGGGCTGATGAGGAGGTTCTGGTGTTGACTGTGATGGCACCTGGATGTTCTGGCAGTGCTTTCCTGAATTAAGGTTCAGTGCCTGTGATCCTAATCAGGCCACTGGGCCGCATAATTATTTGTTTTAAAACGATGTTCTCCTCTTGAATCACGTCTCAATATCCTGAAAATTTATTCTAACCACAAACTTCAGCTTTTCCCACGTTGCTATCCGAAACAGATAAACTGTCTCGGTGATCTGAAGGCCAACTCAAACTAGTTTAAACCAAAGAGAATCAATGTTTCCAAAGTTCCCATGTAATGCTATTACTTAGATACATGGATTGGAGGTGGGGGAAGATACGTATTGCTTGCTTTTAGAGTCATAGTCAAATGGTTTTGTACTTTTTTCCTAGCTCCTAAGCCAGGTTTTCCGCAGCCACTGTGATAGCTGGAGAACCCAATAAGTATGTTCTGTTGTTCTTTTCCTTAATCTTATGCAGTTTGGAGCAATAGGGACAAAAGTTTCCTGATTTTTCGAAGTTAATGTCTAATACATGGGACTATCTACCACATTATTCTTGTTATTAATCACTTGAAAATTCTGGGAATTTGCTGTTCTTAAATGTGTAGATACATGTTTCAAACTCATTACCTTATTATGATCTTTTTTAAAAAGTCATCTATAACCTTGCATCAACTTAGATATTGTATCTTATTTTTTCTCTACTGCTTCTTCTCTCACTCTTCTACCTGTGATTTTTATTTTACCAGTCCATGTCATTTTATTACTTCTAAGTAATAACTGCCTGTATGCAATTTCTAGATTTTGCAGCAGTCTTGTATCTATGTATATTTATATTTTATATATTAGATGAAAATGCATATATACCTTTTACTGATACAGTTCACAATCTTTCTTCACATTTAGAATTATATTGTATCACTCACAGTAATGCTCCAAAATATGTTGGGATGCAGTTTGTATGAATGAGGCCAAAGTAAGGAAGTTAAGAAGACAGCAAATCAAATATTCTGCGCTAGAGCAGGCTGGCTATACATTAGCTGCATTTTAAGCAATTCATTTTTTGGATTAAATCAGACTTTAAATTCATAAATCTTGAAATAGAGAGAGCCCTTATTTCAAATGCAAATAAAAATGCTGTGCCACTTTTGCCCTCTTGTGGCTAGATGTTAGGATTACAATCCGTCTTGGTAAATTGATTTTGTTAGTCTGAACAAAAGCTGCAATCACGAGGCAGACTGTAGTCGGCAAGCGTTAGCAAGTGACTGCCTATTTTAATTGTAGTACAAACTTTGTGACTAACTCGCTATTGTACGTGTAGCTGAATGCTTAATATTACACCTGATTTGATTTCAAAAGTTCTAAATGTGCAGTAATTTAGTTTGAACTCAGTGGAAATTGATAGTTGCTCAGTATTTTAATAATATGACTGCTTATTAATAGTGAGCTATTACCTTAAGAGTTCAGGAATTCAGTTTTGGGAAGCCAGCTTTCCTTAATCTTGCCTTTAAATTAGTTGAGGCTCCTTTCAGGAACACATATTTACAACACTGCCCAACACAGGCAAATTGTAGTAGCAGAGTCTTTCTAAATTCAGCAAAGCATTTGACAAAGCAACCAGGCATTTTTTTTTTTGAACTACCTCTTGTAGTGTTAAACTAAGATGACTTCCACTACCATATGTACTAATGTAATTTTTCTGTGATAACAAGTACAATGTCAACAATGTAAATGTTTGCCGTGTAGAAACACTATTCCTACCAGCGAGTTCATTTATTGCTGTTTTACCACGTTTGAAGGGTAGATATTCGTGCTGTTTAAATGCTGCACATTTATTAACAATTTTCTTATGCTTCAAAATGTTCAGTCAATTTAAAATATTTCAAAATGTGACAGTGTCCACTTCAATTTTTTTCTTGATTGGAATGTTTGCAAGTTACTGGCTGGATATTTGGATGTAAGGCAGATAGTGAAATGCACTTCACTCACTTCAAAGGTGGACCGGTACCGCATTCTGTGTTACAGGATGTGGCTGTTTGACAGTGTAATTGCAAATTGCTCTAATTCTTTTTGACAGAGAAAGGAAGTCGTAGGGAAGCCTTCTAATAAGGCGTTGGCCTCTCCCTTAAAGTGCAGTTGGCTATGGCTAG